GGTTACCCGAAATGGGATACATTCCTCGCCTTAAGTAGTGAAGGAATATCATGCATGGAGATAACGCATAATTGCCACACAATTTCGTTCTTTTCAATCATGCAAGTTAGGAGACGTCGATCATTTTATGCGTCCTCCCGTCTCACAAACATCCTCAGCATCATCATTCAAATCAGGTCTACCAAGTCACGTGAGTCGTCGCGCCTCCACAAAAGCTGTCTGGCGATCAGGGCTCACCAGACCTCGATAGTTAGCCCTGAGTCAAGGTTACGGAAACGGATCGGGGGAATTTTAATTCCACACTAACTTCGAGATTCGTGCTCAGTTGGGGTTTCTGATGGATCAGACGACCAGGCTTCTCAAACCATCTTGACCCGTTTTCGAAGCTCCAAACTGCTCCCGCAACCGGTTAAGAGTAAATTCGTGGGTTCGCGGAACAGCGTGGCCAATATGTGCATCAGTAGAAAACTCCACCTAGTCGACTAATTCTCCTATAATTAAAACAAAGGCTGGACAACGATGGGAATCTGTTACACGTGAACCATAGGATTATATATACGGCATAAAATTCGAGGTTCTATTCTAGTTTGGACGCTGCGTCGACTAGGTCGTATAATTCACAGACATACCAAAACTAGCTGTCTGGGGTGCATCGTTCTCCAATCATGAGCACTACTAAGTAAGGCTGGGTGGTCAATTGATCAATTAGAAAACAGTCTGACGAATAGTACAGAAATGCTGTGTTTCGTTGGTGAATGTCGTCTGCCTAGATGGGGACCTAGAGTCGTTCACGGCAATGATTAGATGCCTCGTCGTATGGACCGCAGTCATGAAGTCAGTGGTTCTCTTACACTGTTTCCTGTGCTTGGCAGTTTTAAATCCGCCAGCTGATGCTTTCATTTCTGCTACATGAATCTCAAATTACTATCAGTATTATTGTTTATCTCTTCATTACTGGTATTATTTAATCAAGTCAAGTCATCAATTGGCTTCATGCACCAAGGAGTGGGGAAAGTTCAGCTCCTGTGAGATGAATCAACGCCATTGGATCCAATGCATTTCGGCGCCGGGAACTCAGTTGATAAACTGAACAGGACAGGCACCTGGATTTTCCATTAATAGTGATAAGAATAATAGTCAGAGATTGTGGTTTGACACTTCTTTGACTACAACACTGAGCTCAACTTACTACACCCCCACAACGGCTTCTGATTCAATGATGGCTTGTCTGAAGTAGCCGGATTCGACTCCTGGTCCGGTTAGCTCCAGTTGAACAGGGTACACAACCACAATCATAGATTGACAGGGGGATTCACTTCGACATGAACCATGGCTCAGATTAAGACTGTTTGTCTCGATCAACTCACATAAAGAACACTTGAAAGCGAAACCGTCTCATATAGGCCGGTACAACTGCGGATTCCACGGTAGTCACCTGGCAGTCACACGCTCGACCTTGGGCTGCATTCGTCGCTGGATTTCCGGAGAAAGTACGAAACCAGGAACACAGTGACCAGCCTGCTGTTAAAAAGGCAGATGGCACAGGAGAACCTAGTCCTCAAGAGGTTAATTATAGTACTACTATCCCGCGTCACTTCACCGGGACATAAGATGACCTAAAGTTTAGCGGTCCTGGTATTTGCCCGGTAGTCCCAGCCCCCCCCCCCCCACTTGGACAGCTTGGGCAAACAGTGCCGCGAGTTTTGAAGTCCAGTGGGGAGATTAAGCGACAGCGCCTAGAGACAGAGTTGTCTGGGGCTGGATTTAAGTTATATCACAGAGATCTTAAACCAAACTGTTGGGAGGATGTGTACGATTTATATTTTTTATGACAATTCTTAGTTTCCTGCCTTCGTTTTGCTATCGTTTGTCGCTTGGCGTTTGTTTAAACGCATCATTTTTTGCTTTGATTGGCCGATCTAGGTCCTTCGTAATAGATGTCACCGCAGGCGTCCATTTCCGCTAATATCATTACCTCGAACTCGCCTGATTGGTTCTTTCGTTTACCACTTCTCATTTGCCCGTATTATGCAGTATCTCCCATGATGTTGGTTAGATCCAACGTGTTCATCCGAGTGCTTCATCCACTATTGCATCCTACATAAGGAAGCGTCGTTCTCATTCACACAACTCGGTCCTGGCCCATCTTCGTCTTCTGTCTGCGATTGTGGAGGGTGTTAACAGTTGGCGGCGATGCAATAGCTGTATACACCAATCCAATCCAAAAACAGACGAATTAATCCAGTTGTCTTGGACGCTTTAATCTGCTTCTACTATCCTTTTTAAATGAAACGTTCAAGTCGGCATCCTCCCTCACAGTCACAACAATACCCAGCCACCTGGCGGTGGAGTAGATGACTTATGAGGACAAAAAATGCGCTCTTCCCACACCCCCATTACCTGTCCGGAAAGGTGTTGGACGATCGGCTTTCTTTCGTAGATCTCGCCAACTTTGTGCACTCTGTCTGCATTCGTGCACTTGTGCCAATGACACAAATTTTTATTCGTCGCAATCAGCCGACAATTCAGATATGTCGACCAGCTATCCGGAAAAGCACCAGACGGCCGTTTCGCCCTATTGGGGCTCATCAGTGGTGCGCATCCTTCGGCCCTCTGCGGAGGATCGAACCCATGACTGCTAGTGGGCCTTGCCAGCTAGCCCGCAGCTTATGCAACTGCGCCATGGAGGACGGTATCCGACTATCATGAATTGTTAGCTAAATGCGATATAGCCCGACGCATCCTCCACTGCCATACAGGCACCTGCCATGCAGATGACAGCGGTCGGCCTTCCGGCGTCAGGACTTCCCGGTTACGGCAGCTATGAATCGACAGTGGAGGATGCGTCGGGCTATATCGCATTTAGCTAACAATTCATGATAGTCGGATACCGTCCTCCATGGCGCAGTTGCGTAAGCTGCGGGCTAGTTGGCAAGAGCCACTAGCAGTCATGGGTTCGATCCTCCGCAGAGGACCGAAGGATGCGCACCACTGATGAGCCTCAATAGGGCGAAACGGCCGTCTGGTGCTTTTCCGGATAGCTGGTCGACATATCTGAATTGTCGGCTGATTGCGACGAACAAAAATACTCACCAAAATCCTTCCATTCATAAGTAAATGACAAAATTATTCAAAATTCTCTCTTATACTACTTTGGGAAGATCAGTAATGGCCCACGCTGGCTTATAATGTTATCGGACAATGGCGGTAAAGCAGGGAAAGTCGCAACACTGGAGAACAACCCTGCTCACCAAACTCTATACGTTCTTTCCGTCAATTGTATCCACAGCGCATTATAGTTCCTCACTACGGAACTGATGATCCTCCATAGATCTCTTCAGCTGGTTCCTAACGCAATCGAATTGCATCCAATGGGACTAAACGACGCTAAATGCTAGTGTTTATAGAGTGACCAACCACAAATCAGCTAATAGCATCTCACTCTGTATAGTCATTTGTATTATGGACTGACTCGGTCCGTTGTACACCTTCAGTCCCTTTGAACATCCCTTAGAGTACTGTTACAATTAGCTATCTATTCAAGTTCACCTATACTGCCTGACGTGACCTGCTAGACTCCGGTGCATTTACTCATATATTGGTTAGAAAGGTCACTCTTGCTTACTATGGTAACTCGAAATTATCAAATCGCCCAATCTTCAGTATGTTAGCGCGCTCGTTGGCGTACTCCAAATATACTTATGTGTTTTAAAGATTAAATATTTATCCGGCTTCTTCCGTTTGGTGAGGATCCTGTCTCTGAGTAATCTTGCAATTACATATATATATATATATATATATATATATATATATATATATATATATATATATATACCCTTAGCTACGGACGTTGATACCTTCTCAACAAAGGATCCAAGTGACTCCACCACTTAAGACCTGGTATGGCCTTTATGTGATGGAGCCAACGATACGTGTGTTCATCTACTCGGTTTACCTCCTGAGTAGTTAAGTATCAAGCTACAGATGTCACAGCCTCCTTCGTTCGGCAAGTGTCACAAGGAATTCAGTGAACACCTATTACCAAGTGAAACCCGTTGAGCCATTCGCTGAATTTGTGCGCAACCATGTTCCCCACACCCTAAGACTATTGGAAGCTGTCAGGATCGATCGGGGGGTGGCCAACCCTTTGGGTGTAGAACCAGCTGACTTCAACCTTGAACATACGGTGACAGCACGAATGGCGCTGCTTCGCCACCGATCGATCTCACGTGACTTCTGCTTGTTACGAATATTATTGGATGAATATTTAAAGTTGACCAAGATGGGCGAAGTCACTGAGTCATCTAATAAATTACGTCGTCAGGTCTTCTTATCGCACATAACATAGCATATAACCGGCATTAAGCCTACCAACCTCTTTGAACTAGCTTGGTGGGACCACTTGCAGGGACACTATCTGAAGCTTATGAAACACAGGTCAAGACTGGATATCGGGGCGAAATTTTTCACTAACTGCGTAGTACGCGATTGGAATTTACTCCCCTGCACTAGTGGAATGTAACACTATAGAAGTTTTTGAAAGTGGCCTAGCTACGAATTGTTCCACTATCCTTCTAGAACTGCACTGAGATAAAGTGGATTCCAATTATACTACGAAATATCCCATGGTCAATAGGACGTCACGAATAGGTTCATGAAGTTATGAGAAGTTTCTCTTACTCTAGTTTTGTCTCATCTGAAGTGAAGAAGTTCTAACGTCGAAGTGTCGGGGGTCTTGGCTTGGTTACCGGCACACGAAATGGGACGCTCGTTAGGCGAAGGCCTGTTTCATCCCTGAAAACCTGGCCTGACATAAAGTGTGCCCCAATAGAAATCGAGTCGCACTTTCAGCGTCCGCTTGTGCTATGCACCAATTCCACGAATCGCATGTGTTTATTTACTTAATTAATTACTGCACAGTTTCACAAACTACGATGATGTTGGGTCCACAGGGGACCCAAAATAGTCAACTTTATCCATGCGCAATCGCCAATGGGGACTTACCGCCCAGATTTTGTGATCACCATCTCCGTGGTCATGCTATGAAAATTCCGCCACAAATCCGCATCAACCAGTTCAACAGTTAGCACTTCCTTTGCATTTGGAGTCACCTGCGTGTGGAATTCAGGATCGAGGGGAGATGTGTGTCCTGCCTGACTGTGCACAGTCGTGCGACTGACTCGTCTGCTGGAGTAGTTTACATCCTCCGAGATGCGGCAAGGCTCAGCGGACTCCATCGGGGGTGACCAAACGCTCAGATTTGGAGACGGAGGTGAAAAAGTGAAATGTGAATTAGGCGAAAACGCGTGCGGTCGTTTTCGGCTGCATGTTTCTGCGGGGGACACCAATGGCGATTCCGCGTTTCTAGTCTCTAGTCGACGGAACGCTCCATTCAGGTGAGAGTGTGTCAAGCTTTTCACATGGTCATTGGTTGACAAGGTTGCTGGACGGTTTACATCTGTCGGACTCGAAGAACTTAACGAGAGGAGTGTGCTACTCAGCAGTTCGAGTGCTCGCGTGTGGTTCGCCCGATAACTTCCCTGAAACGATGAGTTTATGGTACCTCCACGATCCAGGTAGCGCGACGCAACCACATTCAACGCGCTTACAACCGCATGCAAGTGGTCAGTTGGGGTTGCTCTGTTCTGAGTGAGCCGAGTTATTGTCTTATCAATAAAGCGATCCTGTCTGCTGTCCCGGAATCCCAGCACGCCTGCCGATTTGCCGGTGGGGCAACTATCACTGAGACGTGAAAGTGGAGCGTCATCGAGAGAACCATTGGAGTAGCCGTTTAGTGAGCGATGACCTGTTGTGGCGTCCATGGTGGTAAGGAGTGCAAGAGTGGATGATGTCTCGGAGCTCAGTTGCAGTGGAGTCCGAGAAGCGGGACAACCTGCCAGCACGAAACACTGGAGCGTTCACTCACATACTGGGCTAAATGAGATCTGACGGACACGCGACATACATGGTATCAAGGCTGTAGTGTCAAGTGATCACCCGGTCGTCGCGCCAACAGCATGGTTGTCCACCGGGAGTGAGCTTATTGGACAAGTAGAAGGCACCTTGTACCGGTGGCAGAAATTACACCAGGCCATAGGTGTGTGTGAGTGGGCGCAGTTTCGTCAACCAATCAGGGTTGGTCTGAAGTCTGACAGTTAGATGTTATGATTGGTTTGACGCGGTTTCCACACTCATGCACCCACACCTCTGTGAATTAGCTTCAGTGTGGGCGCAGTACGTCCGGACGAAAACATGTTCCGGGGATTGCGAGTGGCTGTCATTCAGCTGAATGGACATAACCACAGGAGACGGCAGGTGTGAGTGGAGAGAGTAGCGTTTCTCAAGCACCAGATTCACGCGTGTTCCGACCACCTTCATGTTATCCTCCGTCAGATGGAATGAAGTCCTCTGGAATCGTTTTGAAGCAATGCCGAGTGGGATAAATAAGCAAGTGTTGATGCTTGGAATCTACATCCTATTCATTGGATTCATCACATACGGATGGGACAAAATGAGTGGGTAAATGAACTCTTGCTATCGACAAGCTTTCGGTTTCTGAGTCTAGGTACCGCCATGCGAAGTTACGCGTTTCTTCCATAGCCTCAGATGGCGTGTAATGTGTCCGGTGGCCAGATTACTTAGGCCGTAGCGATCCGAACACGATTGGCTACTCTGTGCATGGGGTCCTATCGTCCGTTCCTACTAGAACTCGAAACGACTAGCAAGTGTTATACCAATGGGATGCAACTTCCGTTGGGTCGGCCCCTCAACCCCTTTCACTAGTTCACGGTGATGTGAACACGAGCGAGCAGAAACAGAATTCGGAATTCTTTGCTTAGGAAAACTGTGCTCTGTATATAGCATGAAAGCTGACTGATGCTTGAATGTAAAAGCCAACCGCAGCATTGAAGGCGCGCGACCGGACAAACCCAATAGGGATAGAGGAAGTTTAGCACCAATCGAATGTGCACAACGAATGGGAATTGAGTGTATTCGTGTCGGATTTGAACCGTGACAAGCAAGCAAGTACATCAGCTACAACTGGCCCATGTTCTTAATGAATTGAAGTATTAAAACAAGCGCCAGTACATAAGCGCAGCAAAAAATATATCATGCAATTATACACTTTCGCATAAGCATAGTGTTAGAAAGGAATACGCGATGCGAACAAGCCAGGACCGCGTCGCCGCGGCAGACGATCCTAACTCACCCGCCCTGATTGGGGCGAACGGAGAGCCAACCGGGAGAAGCGGCCAATTAACGCGAGGGCGACGTTCATTGATTTGCTGTAAGTTAACCTTTCCAGAGCTTTCCATGTGCGCTTTAAAGACCATTCACGAACTTTCCATTTCATCTTTATAATGAACGGTGTGATTCGCTAATGGATCCCTGTTGTCCTATCGAGCTTTTTAGCTGAAATAACCCGGAAAACAGTGTTTGAATAAACACTTGCAACGAACTTTGACTATTGATCCAGTATATCCAGTATATCTTGGATCGATTAAAGTGGTACTGGCCAAAGCGTCTTTGGCGCTTATTGGTAATTTTTCCGGTTCTTCCCGGTTTTAATCCCACTTTGCAACCTGTTTTTGCCTCTTTTGCGGTCGTTTTACTGTTGTATACGTGTTATAATTCTGCTCTGTTTCCCACATGAACATGGCTGTCTCGCTAAATACCGAGTCGTATGGACCTCTGGGGTCCTCGTTTGATGAGTCTAGTGCAGCTTGCGGTCAATGGTTAGAGACCAAATAAACTCAGCCTCCAGATTGGGGTTTGGAATGAGGGTAGCACCTTATTCCTTACAACGGACTCCTTGTAGCCCAACGCCAAACCCGCTGCCTTGCGGTCAGGTTTTTGAACCAAAGGCTTTGGTCGAGAACCCTATCTTTCTCCTGTCTAGGCCTGGGCAGCCTGACAGTATTCTGCCCCCGCAATACAATGAATCTTTCCTCAAACAATTTCTTTATGCTCTGGCCACCGCAGAGCATAATAAACGGTGCCCTATCTGCTGCATCGAGCAGGGTGGATAGGGGTTTGGATACTACTGCTCAAGCCTTTCCGTCTTCTTATTCCCCATCTTACGCTTTTTCACTCTTACCGTCCCCTTCCAACTTCACTTATACCCCCCCCAGTTTTCAACCCCCCGGTTCTTGGCCCTCCCCCAACATGCGTTGCTAGGCATTTACCTTCTAATTTCAACTCACATGTGAACGCGGAGCGTCACTCCTCTCCTGTCGACAAGCCTAGGTCCAACCAAACGGTCCATTCCAATTCATCGGCTTCCATTTGGAGCCCTCGATCCTCCTTCAGATTGGCATGCCTCAACGTACGCACACTGCTACAAATCGGTCAACAGGCAGCACTTGCCCGAACATTGGAGACCCTCTCGATCGATATCTGCAGCTTATCAGAGACTCGCTTGCAAGACTCGAGCACTGTGCTCACTCTGCGATCTCATTCAGGTGACGCAAGCAGGATTTTCTCAGTGCGCCTATCCCGTGACGATGCAGCTTCGAGCAACGGCCAAGCTGGTGTTGACATTGCCCTGAGTCCCCGGGCTGAAACTGCTCTGGTGGATTGGATTCCAATCAGTAGCCGGATGTGTGCGGTCCGATTGGCTGGCTCGTTTAAAGCTTCGAAGTCGCGCGGAACTAATAAGTGTCTATTCATCATCGCTGTCTACGCGCCCACAAACCGTAGCAAGGATTCGATAACGAACGACTTCTACCGCCAACTGACCCAGCTCCTTCGCCACAGAAGAAGCACGGACACTGTCGTGCTGGCGGGGGATATGAACGCACAAGTAGGAAAGTTGTCCACCGATGAACTGCATCTGAGCGGTCAGCACGGTGTAGGCTCCCGTAATGATAACGGTGAGTGGTTACTTCATTTGCGTGAGGATGCTCGCTTATTTCTTGCGAGCACTAACTTCCGACACAGCACCCGCCGGAGGGTGACTTGGCGCCCACCAGCCTCGAACCAGCCTTGGACGCAAATCGATCGCATTGCAATCAGTTACCGCTAGAGAGACTACATCCAGAACTGTCACTCGATTTGGAGCACGGGTGTGGACACCGACCATGCACTTGTATGTGCTGACCTGCGGATGCGCTTTGGCGGACGCCCACGACGACGTTGTGAGCGCATTGACACCAGCCAACTGGCGAAACCAGCTGTTCTGAATGCATATCAAAGTACGCTGACATGCGAGTTGAGTGGGCCCTCACTGGCGACAATTAATGTCAATGGTCTCATATTCACCAGACCTTGCTAGAAGCAAGCAAATCCTCATGTGGTATCTCTAATAGCCAACATGGATATTGGATCTCTTCGCGGTCACTGGAACTTATCGACGCTCGCTGGCATATCCCGGCTGGAAGCGAACACAATGAAACTCGCAAAGAGCTCCAGGCAAAAACTCCGTGTTAGCCTGAAGAGAGACCGCGAATCTTGGTGGTCTCATCGTGCGTCAGAGATGGAAGTGGCCGCTGGCCTTGGCAACCATCGTAAGTGATTCCGTCTGGTACGGGAAACGGGCAGCAGGAGACCTGGTGTTGGTGAAACTATACGTGACGAAAGTGGACAGCCTATCCACAATTTGTCAAAACGTTTGGGGCGTTGGGCTGAGCATTTTGAAAAGCAATTTAACCGGCTAGAATTGTTCGATTCTTCGCCGGCCAGTGATCGCCCTGCTTCATGGGCTGTCCCTTTGGATCCACCCTCTCGCTCAGAAGTCGAACGTGAGATCGGACTGTTGAAGTTGAACAAAGCCGCGGGACCAGATGATCTTCCTCCAGCCCTCTTCAAATTCGGAGGCCCTACTCTTGTTGATGCTTTACATGAATTACTAGTGAAACTGTGGGAGCAGGAGACTGTCCCAACCGATTGGAGCCGCTCCGTTATTGTTCCCATCTTCAAAGGAGGCTGGCGTTCGTCATGGGGCAACCACAGAGGAATGAGTCTGATCTCCATCGCCTCCAAGTTACTCGCTTCCATAATTCTTCACAGACTGACTGGCGCTCGTGAAAGCCAGATTCGTGAGAAGCAAGCCGGATTTCGTCGGGGTCGTGGCTGCATCGACCACATCTTCACCTTGCGTCAGTTGTTGGAGCACCGTCACACATATTGGCGGCCTACCGTAGTCGTGTTCCTCGACATCAAAGGTCCCTTCGATTCGGTTGATCAATGTGCCTTTAGAATTGTCTACTCAGGAAAGGTGTGCCCGAGAAATATGTAAATATTTCCAAACATTATACGCGCGTAGCAGGGGCAGAGTGAGGGCTTACGGCAAGCTGTCGTCACCCTTCAATATCTCCAGCGGTGTGAGACAAGGATGCCCGCTGTCACCTTTCCTCTTCAACTTCGCTGTTGACGAAGTCATGGTGATTGCCTTTACAGGACATGAGTTGGAAGGTGTGGAGTTACTCCCAGGAGAACGACTTCTTGACTTGAAGTATGCAGACGACATTGCCCTCACCTGAGACATCCCCAGACGTGCAAAGCTGCACTGGACAGATTAGCACTGGCTGTCAGCCGCTTCAGACTTTGCTTTGCACCATCGAAATGCAAATCGTTCCTCCAAAATTGGCAGGGCTCTCCTACTGCGCTGACCCTTGGTGAGGATCAGCTAGAAGTCGTTCGAAAATTCGACTACCTGGGAAGTTGTATCAGCGCCCTTGGGATCAAAGACGAGATCGCGAACCCTATAGCCACAGCTCGAAGTGATTTTTGCTAACCTTCGCCACCTATGGCGGCGGCGCGACATTACTCTCGCCCTGAAGTGTTGAGTGTAAAATGCAGTCGTACGTTTGACCCTAATGTA